GCCTAGTCTAAGAGGCTCCTCAGCCCAATACTCAACTATCACACATTTGACAGTTTAAGCCCCTGTTATTAAATTAATTTCTTTTAGCCACATAATTCATTTCTTAATTAATTCTTGTCCATAATTTCTCCATTAATATATTATTCATATAATATATTAATAAATCATAATAACCTCTTTATTCATAAATCATTATATCATGTTGCTTTGGTGAAGGCAACCCAAAAGTACCATGCACAACCAGGTCAAGTATTTACCAAATATAGTTACGAGCTTAGACACTAATCCAACATAATGAAGATTCTAGAACTCATATAGGTGGTGAACAAAATTAGAATGAATTCCAGGGTTTATAGAAGCCTCGTAATAGTAAATAAAGAAATGATTTGAGTTTAGATTAAATCTATTATTTAATCATTCAAATCTTTTTTGGTCCCTAAGTTACCTAAACTATAAGTAGGACCCAAAGGCCTATTACTTTGGTTCATAATATTCCCTAGAGAATGCTCTGGAAAAAATATCATATCTCCTGTCTCCTATTGTGTTCTAGTTCTAAGGTTTGGGTGTGAGCCATTAGAGGCACCATCCTTTTGGTGCTAAGCTTTCCAAGTCCTACACTACAAGTGGATTGAAATGATTTGTTCAGTAGAGAAAATCAAAAGGATAACATTATAGGCTGCATGTACCCTATTAATTGTTAATTGTTTTCCGAATTGTACAATTTTGTTTCCTATAAAACCCAACATGGTCATCACATTGTAATTGATATCAATCCAAAATAATCAGGGAAGACCCTAGTTCTCACGTCATGAAAACTGGACATTCTAGCTTAATGGATTAAGTAGTTTTCCAACGATTCTATAAGCTCCTCTACTCAGATTTGATTTGGCCCAAGGGCCTAATGGATCAAATTTCCAACTTTACTCTTAAAGTCATGACTCTAAATCAAGATCCCAAGTCCAAGGTCTTTAATAACAAATTTAAAGCATGCAATAATCCATTAAGTACTTAATTCATGAAGTGCTCAATCTAAAACCTCCTAAAAGTCTTTAGGGACCCTAGTGATCCCTAAAAATGCAAACCCTATTGACATGCATACCCCATGAATGCCTTGTCCCAAATAAAGGTTAAAAGATACAAAATGACCTAAGATCCAAGGAAAGTCTTCAAAACCACCACTAAATCCTATATCTATAAGATATGATGCTCATCAGACTTAGAGAAACCATAAAGTTGCAAACTTTATCTCTTCAAACCATACTAACCACATCAAATGGACCAAATCATCAGATAAAACCTAGATCTAAAGAGAAACACATTAAAAGATGGAAACTTGAGGACTTACAAAGAGTCCATAAAACGCACACATGTGAGGGAAAGGTTTCTTGGAGGAACTAGGCACCATAACTTCTTCTTCTTCCTTCAAAACCACCAAAACTTGCAACAATAAACTCAAAAGCTTCAAGAGAGCTTGGCAAGCCAAAGGGTCGTTTTTAGGTGATAAAGGTTAAGGGTGAAGTTAATCCTTTCCCATCACTTCCTTTAAATAGGGTCCAAGTCTTAATTTTAAGGTGTTGCAATTGATCAGGTGTCACGTCGTGACCCATAGAGTGTCACTTCGTGACATTTAAAAACCCTTCCCAAAGAATGTGGCGATGTCATGACGTGATGGTGCTTCCCTCACGTCGTGACCACCTTCAAATTCATATTTTATTTAATTTTTTGTTCCTACATGATCTGGATGTTACACAAATTCAGCTATACAAAGAATAGGGATGGAATAGAGTCCTAGACGAAAAACATAAGCATAATGGTCTTTTCCAGGCCGTGAAAATAGGGATGGCATAGAGTCCTAGACGAAAAACTAGTATTTTTTTACTACAACACTTTCTTATATATACCATGCATGCAAAAAGGCTACTCCTTATTTTATTCTAAAAAAAAACTCTACATAGAGAGGCATAGGAGACAAGGCATGGAGGTTAACAAGAAACCTCCATACTTCATCAAAAATTGCGACATTATGGTCTTCACAAGAGACAAAAATGATAAGCTAGTTTCTTTAATTTCAAGACCAAACAATTAGTAAGTCCACAGTTAAACAAAGTGTACAAAACATTTGTACATGACTTATTAATCATACCATATGATAGAATTACTAGTTTGTCTTCTCTTTTATTATTATTTTCATAAAACAATTTTTCTCTAATTAAATAGAAGAGTTGAATTTATTTATTAATAATCAAATACTTAATAAATATTTAATAAGTACCACCTTGAGTAAGATGTGGCCTTATAAGATCATATGTTATTAGTAATATCACTCAATAATGATTCATAAGCATGTAAATCCAACATAGTCTTGGATTTCAACAAAAGTTACAATTTATATGGAAAAATGTTCACCTTTATTAATATTGTAAATCCTTTTATGATTTAAGATATACTAAGCTTTGATATTATGATTAACTATTGATATGATATATTTATTTACTATATTTATGGGAACACAAGTTTCAGATTATATTATTGAAAATCGTCCATTAATAGAGGTGGAAAATATTATGAAAGAAATGGTAACGACTTACATAAATTTCCTGAAATGCAATTTCTAGTTGGATAAATTTTTGCTAAATCAAAATAGATTAATCCATAAACAGATTTCGTAAATATTATCATAAAAGTTGTAGACATACAATATTGAATAAGTTTGAAAACATAGTATGAAAGGTTAATGGCTCAACCCACATGTAGCGTCTACTTTCAACAATGTGCTATTTTGGCATATATGAATGAAGTAGGCCAAATAAACGAGAATATTCTTAACCGCATGTCTGTTGATTCACAAATATATCTATGTTCGGATAAATTATGTAATGTTTAGCAATACAATTCTCTGACAAAGCACTGTACTCACCTAATGTATTCCATCAAATAATCGGGAATACCAAACCATGAGTTAATGTTGAAAGTAGGTGCTACGATAATGTTTTTGCATAATCTTAATACAAATCTAGGCATATGTAATGGGATACGCATGCATGTAATCAGCCATGGAACACAAGTGATTGGAGCGTAGATCACTTATGGAATTAATGTTGGAACTCGAGCGCCTATACATGTAACATACACATTCAGTTATCGTGTTTTGTAATTTTAAAAGTAAATAATATTATGAAATATTATATGATATTGAGCGTTGAGTTCTAACAGATAGATTTTACTAGAAATGAAGTAAAACTATGTTTAGAATCACTCAAGATGTATTGCAAGCCTTATGAAATTCCAATCAAATGTCAAATATTGAAATTTAACGAAAATATAAAATTTGAAATAAGTAAAATTTTATTATTGAAAGTATTAGATAATTCCGTTAGAAACATTTAGACGAAAACCTCATCAAAATTCGAGTTATAACAAAGAAGTTATGACCAATCGAAGATCCGCGATAAAACCGACAATAAAAGATTGAATCGATGAACAATGGTGTGTTGATCGACAATAAAAGATTGTCAAAATTCATGTGACAAATAAATGTCATTCAAATTTATCTGTAAACAATTCCCCTTGGTGTTTTGCTTTGGAATAACAATAAAATTTAAAGTCAATCATTTTCTAAAGTTGGGTCAATCTTACGACGATCCGTTTTCACCCATGAACAATGGTGTGTTGTTTTGTCTAGAGAAACAACCAATGATGGTATAAATAAAACTTGGTATTCATGGATGAAGCACAACAACTAATGTTGTCTACAAGGAATTACTTCAAATTAAGTTTATATATAGCACATTGTTCATAAAGATTGAATCGATGATCTTTGAGTATACTTTACAATATATGGTACATATATAGATATATATATTTGTGTTTGATATGTTTAGTAATTTTTTGATTTTAGTGTCATTCATATGTCTGTATGTAGTAGAACTATTAATATATTTGAGCTCGTGTACAGACCTATCACCTAGTTTTGTATAATTTAAAATTGAATTTAAATCAGGTTTTAAAATTTTTATTTCATTTGCAAAAGACTTAACATATTTGCCATCATTTTATATTTGCTTATTATTTGGGAGTGGATGAATAATTTCATCTAAAACTTTCACCATTCTTTTATTTAAGTATGATTGAGCTGATTAAACATGAGTGCATGAATATAGTTTCGTTTTTGGTAAGGAGTCATTTTCTGGTCACCTGCGTATTAATTGGAAGTTAATAAATAATTTCATCTAAAGCTTTCACCATTCTTTTATTTAAATATAATTGAGCTGGTAATTCCCAAAGTGATTAAACGTGAGTGCATGAATATAGTTCCGTTTTCAGTAAAGTGTCATTTTCTGGTCACCTATTATTCCACCCACGAAGTTTCAAAGGAAGTTTCCTTACACTTTTCACAAATCCTGATTTACACTGTAATTCTCTTTAAGTTCTTCCATTAATAAAACCCTTCTCTTGTACTTCCGTTTTATCTATCATGAAGATCGAGTACATTTCTCCCCATTGGTTTTGCTTTTCATAATTGTTGAAGTCAATCAGGTTTGTAGAATATCCTGCACCTCCTAAGATCAGTGTGTTCAATGCTTTTAATTCCAAGTTGTTTTCATTAACTTCGATTTTATCCGCACAATATTACATTAGATAAGCAATGATATTCCATGAGGTATTCTATCTAATTATTCTTTTAGTTTAGTCAATTAACAGCATAACTAATTCTGAAATTTCATGAAGGAATTAATTTTTTAATGGGGTTTTGTTGAATTTGCTAAACAACTTTTTTTTTCTTTATATTGTTGTTGAAGGTGGGTTTTGAGGATATGGTTGTCATAGTGATTTTGTGTGAAATCTTTAGTTGAAGGCAGGGATTTGTGAAAGTTATCGGGCTATATATACCATAAAGGATTTCTAAAATCCGAGGACAAAAGGATTTGAAAACCCTATCTTTTTAACCATACAAAGTCTTGAAGAGATATCAGTTCCAAATCCTTCACATTCCAACCAAAATGTCAGACTACATTCCTTCGGAAATCCTAGTGGAAATCTTAAAACGACTTCCTGTGAAGTCAGTGCTTCAACTAAGATCCGTTTCAAAACCATGGAAATCTTTGATCGACAGCTCTGAGTTCATTGCTGGCTATGGCGCCCACCAAACTCAGCCACGGAGTCTACTTGTAACGTACAAGAATCCAGAGAGTGAACACCCTGACGAAACATATGCTTCATTGGTTGATGATGAGACCTTCGTCCCACAAGAGATCCGTCTGACAATTCCTGTGCTCGCTAAACTACTTATGCCATCACGCGTAATCGGTACCTCACATGGATTGGTCTGCTTGTCTGCTAATGATCCATATCAAAATGATCACAAACCTCTCGGAAGGAAGATGGCTGTTCTTTGGAATCCTTCAATTAGAAAATCAGTTGGTGTAACAGTGCATGTTGCGGTAGATATGCCTAAATCCTACATTCTTGGTTTTGGAGTTTGTCCTATTACTAGTGACCCTACGATTTTTAAGATTAATGTTAGGGCTGTTGAGGTTTTTACAGGTAGTCGGAGAGTTCTGTCTAACAATCCGCAAATTAATTCTCTTAAATTCCCACAGCGTCAGGTAGTTATAGGTAGGTTTATTTATTTTGTTGCGTATGCTGAGAGCGTGAAACCTCTTATTGTGTCGTTTGGTATGACTACTCATGAATTTAGAAGGAAAGACATACCTGACAGTTTTGCACGACAGCCTTGTCCATATTTTTCCATCTCAAAGGTGTCCGAGGCTCTTGTTGTGCTTAAATACAATACTGTGGGGATCGGAGATTGGGCTGTATGGATCGTGGATGATGGTGTTCCAAATTCATGTACAAAGCTATTCACCATTAGCAATGTACCACGTGCAATACGCTTGAGTACAGTACTGGGATTTACAGAGAGGAGTGAACTTGTAATTGAAAGACAAGCTGATCAAGATGTTCGTGGGTGGAGAAAGAGCTCGTTGTTTGTCTATGAACCATGCTCAAAACACATCAATGATATTGGGATTGATGGAATCCAAGGTTCATTTTCTGTTGGTTACTACATGGAAACCCTACTTCTGCATGATCAGTCGGATTCTAGTGTTTATGTTGAAAATGGTGTTGGACCGTTGAATTTCCAGTCGTGGATAAATTCGCTGCCCGATGAGGTCCTGTCCATCATGTCAACACCTCCCCTACCCAATCGGCCCCGTGGTTTTTCCATTTTAACTTTGCTAAGGAAACTTTGTAACATCTTTTAAATTTAAGGCAAATTGGATGAATGGTATTTGAATTAGAGCATAAATTAGTTTTGTATTCTCTCATCTCTGTTATGTTTGATAATTGATACCATTGATAGTTGGTAATGATTGTTCATTAGTATTCTAATGAGTTCAGTTAACTATTCTTTGACATGTGTTGCAATATCTATCATATATGAAGATTTTGAATCATTCTAGTATTTAATGAATGTGATGCAAGACAATAGAATATTAGAATGGGTTTGATTTGTGAGGGTTTTAATCTTGGTTTCAATCTGAATCAGCTTGAAAGATTTGTTTACTGTAGACAATTTGGTTTCATTTACATATTTTTTTAAGCAGTCTATTGTAAGTTCAGGCTCCACACAACACACACTAGTCAAAGTATTTATGTGAAAGTAAATTTGCAAAATGGAACCTGATTATAAACTTTTACATCTTCCTATATATTAAACAAAAACAAACTACATCTATTTAAACTAAATAAAGAGCTAAATAATAGCTATCATCTAGCCCATGATATTATGCTAAAATGTAGCTAGTCACTTTTATCTTCCATAAAACCCGGTCAAAGATAAAGACCAAATCTTTTGCTGCACGTTTGGATTACAACAAACCCGATTAATCCAACAATTACCTCCTTGATCCGTTTGTTCACACGGCTCCTTAATAGTGGGGTTTCTCCACCATTAACCACCAATGACCACCAACACCTTCACAACTTCTATTCAGAGTCGACCCGCCGACTGCTTCACATGAAAACCCGTTGACAACAACTGTTTTAACCAACACCATATGGTTGTACCATCTTCCAGCCACCTGCTTTAACAAGACAACAACCACCACGATTCTGGACCTTTCTCGGACACCTGACCTCCACCTCGGCCACATCCAAAGTCTTCTCTCGACTTTCCCGGACCCTGACCTCTTCCTCGGCAACATCTAAAGCCAACTCTATCACAGTCTCCATTAACTGCCACTACAGTCACTGTCGAGACCTCCCTTTGACATCTTCAATCCTTTACATGTTCCAAGAGTCTTCTTCTACCACTACCAGTCAAGAAAACCAAGCTTCTCCTTTTTCTGTTTTCTTTTACCTACAAACAAGCCAAACCAAAGAACCACATGTTCTGATTTCTTCTGGCTTGTCTTCTCGGCTTTTGGTTAGACTCATCGTACTGAACTACATCAACCATCTATTACACCGGGACCATTCTTCCCTTTGTTATACTGATAGCCACCTGCTATCATCACTGTTCCATCGCTACCATAGCACCCGTCGATCATCTTCTCCGGGAACCACAGTAAACCGCAGCCACCTACTGCACCGTCTTCTACAAATCCGAACACCATCCAACCCATTGGAAACCGACATCTGTTTCCTATCACAACAGCTCCCGATAACCACCTAGTTAACTCTAATACCAATTGTAGGTTCATGCTCCACACAACACACACAGTCAAGTAAATATGTATGTGAAAGTAAACTTGCGAAATGGAACCTGATTATAAACGTCTACATCGCCCTATATATTAAACAAAAAAAAAGTACATCTATTTATACTAAATAAAGAACTGAATAATAGCTATCATCTAGCCCTCGATATTATGCTAAAATGTAGCCGGTCACTTTTATCTTCCATAAAACCCGGTCAAAGAAAAAGACCAAATCTTTTGCTGAATGTTTGGATTACAACAAACCCGATTAATCCAACATTTATAACCACCCTATCAAAAGTTAAAGATAGAATGCATATTGGGATAACCATTTAGAAATGGATATCGAACATAATATAATACAAAGATAATGTCATGATTATTGTTTATGTTAATTGTTATAGTTTTCATATTTAAAAAACATATTTAATTTATTAAACGGGTGTAACATCCGGGATTTCAGGTATATTAATTATTCTTTTTATTTTGAGTTTTGTGGAGGATCTCGGCGAGTTTGTGCGTAGACTCGCCGAGTTGAGACGCGGTTCCTCACCCGGATTGATGCCCGGACTCGGCGAGTCGCCTTGGCAGACTCGGCGAGTCTGCGCTGTTTAATGAAACCCTAATTTCTTGGGTTTGAGGCGTATTTAAAGGGCCTTATGGCCGTCATTTGTGCTCACCAGTCCCCAGAGCGAAACCCTAGTGAGCTTGAGCGTTTGGAGTGAGAGAAGGAGCCATTGTTGATCTTGGAGGTGCTATCTAGCAAGGGAAAGGAAGTTATAGCCAAGGGGGAAGCAAGAGGATCAACTTCCTGAAGATTTGAGGTCCAGGGCATCACATTTGAGGTACCATTTTCGATCCATTCTCTGCTTGAGTGATGTCATGTTGATTTAGGGTTTATTGAGCCCTTTTGTGGCTAGATATAGTGCTTCCTTGGTCCCTTAATCGAGTTAGGCTCTGGATCTGGACCCTTGGAGGTCCAGAGTGTCCCTTTGTCCAAGCTTTTTGTGAATCCATGGAGGTTTTGGCTTGGGATCTTTGTGCTTGAGGTCAAAACACCATATATGAGTCATTTTGTGTGTTATGAGCGCCAAGACACGAACTTTACATGATAAATACACTTGGAAGGACTGGATCTATGAGTTAGTGAAGCGGATCTAACCTCAGAAGGTCGTTTGGGGTTGTGCATGGAATGCACTCGCCAAGTCCATTCCCAGACTCGGCGACTTGGTGCGGGATGTTCAGTAATCTCGAACCGGGGGTTGAGTCACCGAGTCGGGTGAGTGACTCGGTGAGTCGGAAGAGATTCAGAGGGATCGGGTTCCCGTAGGGACGCGGCGAGTCCACGCCAGACTCGGCGAGTCGGGTCAACCGTTGACCGTTTACCATTGACTAGAGTTGACTGGTTTGACTTCGTCGTATTAGTCAGCTAGAGTCAAGATAGTTTTAAGTAGAAATATGCTTGTGTTGTAGGAAGACGATAGCTCGGGAGATCGAGCACTAACGATTACGAGATTTACAAGTTATCGAGATACGCGAGGTGAGTCTTCTCACTATACATTACCTTGAGTGGTATTTCGAGCTGACTAGAGTGTCTTATGTGCTATGTATGAGATTATGTGTTGCCTTAAAGATTTTGTGCTATGTGTTATTCGTATTCTATATGGTTATGTAGACCGGGCCGGAGGGCCCAACAATTCTGACCGGGCCAAAGGTCCCAATGAGCTATGACTGGACCGGAGGGTCCGACAAGCTGTGGGACTAGAGGGTCCCGCTGAGACATCTAGACCGGAGGGTCGGATTTAGCCTTGAGTGGCGTAATTGTGGTATGTGGTATTTTGGGAACTCACTAAGCATTTATGCTTACCGTTGTTGTGTTTGATGTTTCAGGTACCAGTGAGGACCGTGGGAAGGAGACGGTTTGACTTGTACACACCCACACCGATGGAGATTTTGTTAGAGAGATCTTGGGATTTATTTTGATAACTTTGTTGTTATGAATTTGAAATTATGTTATGAGATACATCTTGTGGTTTTAAAAATGAAAAATTAAATTGGAAATTTTACGTTGTTACAAGTTGGTATCAAAGCCTTGGTTTGAGGGATTCGGATGCACCTTCGGGCGTATTTGAACTCAAACCGAGGATTTGAGAAATTTTCAAACAAAACTAAAATTTTCTAAAAAGAAAAAGAGGTTTTGGAAACAAGTAGAGTGGGAGGTGTGTACAGTCAGCCAGCGCCCGAACGGTGAATCCCCAAAATACCCTTACATTATATGTTATGAGTTATGAGATATTATGTTATGCATGTTAGAGAGGCTAGGTACTCCTATTAGGACTAGTGTGGCCTGATTTGTGATGCCTTAGCCTAGGAGATTACTGTTGCTATGAGATACCTTGAGAGTGAGTAGGTAGCAGTGAGGAGCTCATGAGGGGTCTACTGAGGGCAGCCAGTGCATAGCGAAAATAGAGTATTTTCGATTTGGGATCCTAGGAGGAGGACTTGGGTTGTATATTGATTCGGTGTGGACGATAGTATTGGGCCCGTACTATTGAAGACACCAGATTGGTGCGCAGTCCAAGTAAGAATCCTTGGGGTACCAGGAGTTGAGGATGATTGAGTTGTCGAGTGTGAGTATACTCGAAAGTGTCCCTAATGTTTCTTATGTTGTATTTCAGAGATTGATCATGGTCAGGACACGCCATACCACCGGGAGCAGTGGGGTGAGTGATGAGGAGATCCGTCAGATCATCCATGAGGAGGTGGCTGCCTCCATCATAGCCGAGATTCCAGAGATGTTTGGGTCTATTAAGACCACACTGATCGAGACGTTTGACGAGCGTTACGCTGCTTTGATTGATGTTGTTGTTGCTGCAGCCACGGCAGCTGTTGCTGCTGCGAGACCCCAGGGTGGTGATTCGTTGCTGTACCGAGAGTTCAGCAACACGAAACCACCAGAGTTCGATGGTACACAGGATCCGATCGCCGCCATGAGGTGGATCTCAGACATAGAAGGGTGTTTCTATACGTGCTCGTGTCCGGAGCACTTGAGGGTGCGGTTTGCACTAAACCAGCTTCGCTTGGGAGCGAAAGACTGGTGGAAGTTTGTGACCGCGAGCTATTCGACAGCTGAGCTGACTGCAATAACCTGGGAGAGGTTTACTGCGATGTTTCGTGACGAGTATGTTCTCCAGGTGGAGAGGGAACGTTTAGCCTAGGAGTTTCTGACCCTCAAGCAGGGGACTGAGTCGGTGACAGTGATTACGAGGATGTTTCATGAGCGGGCGCTGTTTTGCCTGGAACAGGTGTCCACTGAGCAGGCTCGCATGAGCCGCTATCTGAGTATACTGAGGAGGGACATTCGTGAGTTCGTGGCGAACTCGTCATACCAGACATTTGCCGAGCTCCAGGTAAATGCCCGGAAGAGGGAGATTGAGCTTGAGATACAGGTGAGGGAGGAAACAGAGTCTCAGAGGGGTGATTGACGACCGGTGCAGGCGCAGCCGGCCGCCAAGCGGGCAAAGCCCGCTAATTCGAGGACGGGTAGTTCGAAGGGCCGCACT